CACTTGCTAGTTTCCTCATTTTCATTTTGAGAAAAACCGGAACTTTGTATTCTTATTAATTCTTGATTTTCATTTTCTTTTTCTAACGGCATGATTTTTTAAATTAGTTAAGGGCGGCGATATTCCTGATGTGCTTCAAGCTGCCTTTGTTGTTGCTTAAATTCTTCTAGCTGAAACTTTAACACCTCGACTTTTTCGCACTGTCTACTGAAATCTAACACATTGTTTTCGTCATCAATTTTTTTTTCTAATTCATCCAAAATATCTGCTTTTTTCTTTTCAGCATTATCAATTTCCGTTTTGTTATCACCCCTCTTTTCTCTCAAACGAACTAATTGACGATAAACATCGCATAATTCTTTCTTATGTTTTTTTTCTATTTCAAATCGCTTAGCAATATTATTTAACTCTTTCTCCGCCAAATTAAGTTCGCTATCAGAAGCTTTAACTTTGCATTGAGCTAACTGCCTATGTAAAGAAAAAATTTCGGCTTCTTTTTCTGCTAGTTCTTTAGTTTTTTGCAGATTCTCTTCTCTTATTGGTTTAATCTCGCTTTTAAGTTCTTTAGTTTTTTCCTCAGAAACTTCTAACTTTGCTTCATTAGTCACATTTCCTTTAATCAATTCTTTAAATTCAAGATCTTTGGCTATCACTTGCTTTTTCAGCTCAGTATTTTTTCTTTTAGTTTTTAACTTTTCTTCGTGTTCATCTTCATAGCAATTACATAAATCCAACAATTCGTCTATCTCTTTGCAGAGCTCTTCCAAAGCTTCAACAGAAACATAAGGGAAATCTGCGGCTTTGTAAGTGGCAGTTGGTTCATAGTCGTCAGAAAATCATCCTTTCTTCTTAACCCTCAAGTTAAGTTTAATATCTTCCTTATTCACCACCGAATCCAACTTTTTGTAAATATAAGAATCGTGATCTCTAACCTTTTCGATAAAATTTTTTAATTTCACTCTTATTTGTTCGATGTGTTCACACATAACTCAATTTTTATTATTTATTATCTATTATACAACTTTTTTTCTTCTAGAAAAGTTTTTTTATAATTTTAAAGTGAAAAGAAGATCGCTCTCCGTTCTTTTTCAAACAAGAATCACTTCGTATTTAGCATATTCAAAAAACCAAGAACAATCGAGAACGCTCTCGTTTCTTTTTCCCTCTGTCTAAAACCCAGATTTAAGATCACAACTAACGCAAAAATCAAGAACATCTCTTGTTCCAAATCACCCACACCCAAACTTTCTCTAATTACTACTAATCACAGCATTTCTCCTCTTACGTGCGAGAAAGAAA